AATTTGCTGCTCTAAGAAGAATGAAGACTTTAATTTCATAGACTCATAGAATGGTTTGAGTTGGAAGGGACCTTAAAGATGACCTAGTAAATTAGTATTTGTATTTTATCTAGTTAATCTGTATCTAGTAATTTAGCAATTAGTATTTGTATTTTTTAAAAAAGAGTAAGTAATCATAGTAATTTAAAGTAAGTACATGATGAAATAGATCCACTCATAACAAAATCCTGCTTAAAATCACAGCAAAAGAAACAATTTTCTTACTTGCAATTAAAGCATCTCAGATTGAACTCTCTTAGAGGTCAGTCTGACTAGAATACTCGTTCTTACTGCTAAATACAGCATGTAAGCATTTAATTCCTGTTTTTCACTCATTTGCTATTATCCATTAAAAATAGTTTAAGCTGTTCCTTAGTGGGAAATAGTCTCCACAATAACGCTGTGCCTAGCTGTTCACTTCAAATCAAGTGTCTCTTCCTCCTACTGAATCAGTGATGTGACTGATATTGTTGGACAGTCAATATCCTTGGCAGAAAACCAAACCAGAACAGAACAAACCTATTCAGGTCCTTCTCTGGCAAACCATATTGAGATTAAAGTGTGTGGTGTAGTTTATCACATAACACCAAAGCCTTTTGGGGTATGGCTTTATGTAGTGTAGCACAGAAGCAGCTTATATGGATATCAGAACTTGGTTTTGGTTCTAGGAGAGTCCCAGCTCAACAGTGAGACACTTTGTGCCTTTAAGCTAATCCTACTGAGAAACAAGTTGAACTAGTCCATGTGGAACTTCTGGGATTTCACCTAACCTGCTTCTGGTATCTAAACCAGAACATTTAGCACTATGTCAGGTATCTCTGTGCTTCATTCAATTGTAGATGCAACCTCAAAAATTAAGCAAAGAACCACTTTTTCATTCATCACTGAAATGCAGCTATTAGATACCACATTTACAACAGCAGTGAGGATTTGGGAATATACTCACTGCACCAAATGAAAGGTAAAAGCAAAAGATTGTTTCCGGTATTAATTACATTCTTGGAACTACAAAAGGTTTTATGCAGAATAAGTGCAATTACTCCCCCACTAATGTCATCAGGATGTTGACACTAAAAACTCTGCTCCCACAGTGTCACCGGGTTGTTAAAGATCAAAGAAGCCATGAAAACAAAGACACTTCTGATGCTGAGAAGTGAATGACTTTGCAAAGCACTACTCCTCAAGACAGGGATCCCCAATATTTCACTAACTTGCCTCTGCTTGAGAAAAGTGGAAATATTTTTCACCTCACCAGAGCCAAAACTCAGCGGATCCAAACACCCCACTAAGCCTAAGCCCTCCTGCACTTCTTTGCACCGTTCTGACTTAAGCTTCACTCAGACAAAGTCCAGCAGAATTTAAACTGGGAATTCATATCTCATCTATGATGTGCTCGTATCCACTGAACAAGATGAATGCCACATGGATGAGTTTTCACATCACTGATTCAGGAGTATTACAGTCCATTTACCTCAAACTCAAGGTGTTCTTGGCTAACTTTCAGCCAACTGCTAATGAGCTGCAACTCGTATTTCTAGAAGTTTTAGCAGCTAGAAGTTCTACACTGCAATAAAGGTGTGGGGTTTTTAAAATGTAAAACTTGTAGAATTATTTAAGAGTTTTTCTTCACAAGACAATTGAATAATTGCTTTCCCTTTAGAATTCAATAGCCTGTGGTCCAGTGATACTGAAAGAACATAATCCAGAGACTTGAGGTACTTGCCAAGCAGCAAGACTACCAAAACGTTCCAACTACACACTTGGTAGTGTTTGTGCAGCAAAGAAACAATATTGGGTCAGAGTAGATTTCTGGCTTTAGCAATTCTTCAAGGCAAAATCTCGTAACTATTATTTCTACAGGCCCTGTGCCCTCCCATCCCCTCCCCCTGCCAGCTGGAGGCTTTAGATTGTGTTCCACTTTATATATTACTGATCCAAAACAGGGATGAGTGTTTCATCTTCCCTAGGAGTGTATTATTAAAGATCATGGCTCTTCTTCCATGGCTCTTCTCCTCTTCCACAGGAAACTGCAGGGAACAAACCTAGAAAGATCAGCAATCCTTTAGACAGCCTTTAGATGATATTTCTATCATCTTTTTCAGCTAACTAGAGATTCCTGAAACACATCCCATCCTTCAGGCAGCTTCCAAAGCTTTCCAAGCTATAATTATGTTCTTTCAGCACTGGAGAATTTACAAATTCTTCACTCTTGAATTTACACTCCTATTCACATTTTCAGGCAAGATAAATGGACATGTAAAGCCCATAAGGTTTAGTAATTAAACATCACTACAAAACAAAAGAAAACCGAGTTCTGGTTCAAAAGACAGTTTGAAAAAGAAACTTCAGCAAAAATTAATCCTATCAACAGCCCTGTCCCCAGGTTTACCTTGTTTTTTTGACTTGAATGCTGCTATTAAGTTTTTCCAGAACGTATTCCCCAGAGTCATGGTTGATAATAAGCACACAGTCCTTCTGATATGGCCTTTTATTTCCTCTAAACACAGTCATTGGTGGAGTTGAACCCTGGTATCAAAGAAAGAGCACACATTTGTTTGGTTATATTCCCCTACCGAAAAGTTTATATTCATTTCTCTTAGTGATTATATGTGTTGTTCTGACCGACAGGTAAAGCACTTAGTTCCTACAGAAAATGTTCATTCATGAAAACGGAAAAATAGTTGTATGCAGTAAATCAGATTTTTCCTCATAGCAATATTATGTCTTTCATCATTTTAAGTGTCTCTGCAGTGACAAAACATGTTCTTCATGGTTGCCATTATTTACAGTTCTCATTCCCAAAATGGAAGCATCACTGAATTTGCATGGCTGGCCCTGACAAGTGTCAGAAAACTTAACATTTCTGCTCTGGAAATCGTCAGTTTGGCTAAGAAATAAAATTCTAATTATTTGTGTAGCAGAACTGTTTCCTAAAGAAATATGTGGTCAATTAAAAAAGAATTTAAACTGCTTTGTATTTTAAAAAAAGGCAGTGTTATCATGGTGGATTACAAGCAATAGTGACAGAAGATGTATGAACAGCTATGTAAGAACAGCTGTCTTCTTCAAAGTCAGATTAACATGTAGATGTCATGCAATTATGCTGAAACGTCTTCTCAAAAGCAAATGGGGTATTTTGACACCTTCCAGAAAGTCCCCAAGTCCACACAATGCTGCATAGAGCCATAAAAGTCTAATGGCTTAAACTGAGAAGTAATAAGGACAAACTCATGGTGGTGCACACTGGTTAACTGATACTGCTGAGATGATGCTCAGCTGTACTGCATCCATGCACAGGCTGGCTCATACAATCGGTTCTGGGGTTATAGGCACATAATCCATGGTCTATCTGCATACAGCAGCATGGACACACACATAGCCATGCCAGAAAAGGACATATTACTCAAAGGGGATATAGAGAAATATGTTCTCAGTTGTGAAACTTGCTCAGACTTTTCTGTAATGTATAGCTAGTATAGAAAAGGAATTTAAAATGTTCATGTGCACATTTGCACATGCTGTAGGAAAGTAATCAAAACTGAGGACAAAAGGAAAAACAAGCTCTTCTATGGATTTTTTCTGAGTAGCAAAAAGGAACATCATATTTTAACCACTCAGAATGCAATTCCTTTTCTTCATGTTGCTAAAAATAGAACATGTTTGAATTTAAAATGGGTTTAGAACCATAAGGGTGAAAAATCTGAATTCCCAACAAAGATACAGTAAGAAATAGAGATATGATTCAGAAAATACATCTCAAGTCATGTCTTCAAAGGCATGTTACATTTTTAGCATCCTGCATTTAAGAGAGGAAAGCAACATTTCTGAGAATAAAAAGCAAACTGAAAGTCAAATCCTGCTTGCTGTTGACAACTAAATCAAGAGATGTATAATGCACAAATTTAAGAAAAATTGATCAAAGTTTGTTGCTATCATTCTGCTACCCAGAAGCCTCCTACCTCAGCAAAGAATGATTTTGCCTAAAGAAATAAGCAGAAATGGTACCCTGCTTAAGCAAATTAACAGTCCAGTCCTTCTACATAAAATTAAATGTTTAGGTTTTATGTTAGTACATAAATAACACTGGCTTACAGATTCTGCTGATTACAGGAGAAAAGAAGGTGGTAGATGAAACAGGTGATGTTTAATCAATTTGTTTTCATGCTTGAAGCTTGAGGTTTTTAAAATAAACAGGAATCCTTCACTTCCCCAACCAAGACTGTTTATCAAACACTAAAGCCACTAAATCCACATGTACTTCAATTTATCCAAGCAGCAAGAGACACCAAAATACGTCCACTGAACAAATTCTTGGGGATATCCTCAGGGACCAGGCAATTTCGAAAACCAACTTAGAATCTGAATCCTATACAGTTGTTGGGCAACTTAGAATGAAAAGCAGGTCCAAGAAATTCAGTAAATCTTGTCAGGATTAAATGATCTCAAAACTTCTTGCTCTTTTCCAGTATGTTTAGTATTTTCCAGCTTTCTGTCCAGAACACAGGCATCACTTGCCTTGGAACAACACACACACAGTGGCTGCATTGAGTGCAGTTAGCTGCCTAAGCCTCCAAAGCATACAATAAGCTTAAAGCTGCTTATACTCATGGGAAGGCAATAAAATTAAACTCAACAGTACAGAGATTCCGAAAGGGACGTTACAAGCGATGATGTTCAACACAAAAAATGAATTAACAACAACGTTCCAAATCATTCCAAGGTGAATGCCTCTACTATTAATCGTATTGTTACCTGCTTTCAAATAGCACTGCCATGCTCATCATTTTTATAGACAAAAACCAGTACGTGACCTCCTGCAGCACTTAAACGTGATCAAAAATGTATAAAAAATGGGAGTGGGGATAAGCAGGCTAAAGCCTCATTCAGTGAGAATTATCACTGTACCGTCACCAGCCAAATAAACCCACCAACATGCTACAATAAACAATACCAAAAGGATCTAACACACAGCTTCCAAACTGACAGTTGCCCCCCTGCTAGCAGCAGACGCATCAATGTCTGTGGGTTCTGGTTTATTGGTTTGACATAGAGCATTAACTTCAGCTAACAAACAAATCCAGTTAAAGCATGCAAGCACTTTGTTTTGGTAAGGAAACCACTGAACCTTCAATTACAAAACAGCTGCACCTATAAACAGTTTAATTGCTTGTTTTATTGCCATTTGACCATCACCCTCACACAGTAGATCTTTACGGCATAATTTCAGGAGGAAGTGGATGAGAAATCACTTCATTGCCATTCACCAGAACCAACCTTCCCTTGCCTCCACTCATGAAGCTAAAGGCATGGAACTTTCTATGCTATTTGTATTCCCAGAAAGCCAGCCATATACTGGGTTGCTTCAAAAGAAGGGTGAGCAGCAGGCAAAGGAGGTGATCCTACCCCTCTACTCTGCTCTGGTGAGACCCCACTTGCAGCACTGTGTGCAGTTCTGGTGTCCTCAACACAAGGACATGGAGCTGTTGGAGCAAGTCCAGAGGAGGCCACAAGGATGACCAGGGGCTGAAGCACCTCTGATACAAAGACAGGCTGAGAACACTGGGGCTGTTCAGCCTGGAGAAGAGAAGCTGCGTGGAGACCTCAGAGCAGCTTCCAGTGTCTGAAGGGGGCTACAGGATGCTGGAGAGGGACTCTTCATCAGGGACTGTAGTGATACGACAAGGGGTGATGGGTTCAAACTGAAACAGGGGAACTTCAGGTTAGCTATAAGGCAGAAGTTCTTCGTTGTGAGGGTGGTGAGGCACTGGAAGAGGCTGCCCAAAGAAGAGGTAAATGCTCCATCCCTGGCAGTGTTCAAGGCCAGATTGGACAGAACCTTGGGTGACATGGTCTAGTGTGAGGTGTCCCTGTCCATGGCAGGAACAGGCTGGATTATCTTAAGGTCTTTTCCTGAGGGAATGAAGGCACGGACCCAGAGCATCTTCATGCAGTGAATCGCTTTACTGCCTACTGCTCTAACTTTTTATACCATTCTAACAACAGTTATTTTTAGCCTATTGCTGTAGCTTTTATACCATTCTATTTGTAGCCTATCATGTTTAGTTCCCGACTTATAGTTTGTTTATTAACACTGCTTGCTTTCTCACAGCCAGTCCCAGAGTAGCCAGTCTCTTATCTTTATGCTCTCTCCTCCTCGGCCAGCTGGGTTGCTCTGGTTGATTGTACTTTGTTTCTTCTTTAACCCTTTCTTCTCCAGCCAAGCAGTTACTTCTCTTTGGCAATAATCAAATAGTTTCCATTGTCTCCCACATTTTCCAGCCCAAACCATTCTGTGATTCTATGATTCTATGTTTTAGTAATGGGAAAAATATGCTTACAGGCATACCTGTGGCTTCTGAACATCAAACCTTGACTAAAGTCCAAATTACTCTGCCTTTCTTCATTAAGCCATTGCACCAAAATGGCTGGAAACCAGGCACAGAACTTCAGCTAACAGTGAAAGTCTTATAGTCACTCAAGGAAGAGTAGGAAGGAAGAAATTATAAGTAAAGAATAGACTGCAACCTTACAAATATAACCCTTTACGGTCAATTGTACAGTCCCTTCCTAGGGTAACACAGTACAAGTCTGGCTGCTCGGTTATTGAATCTATTTCTTTTAACAAAAATGAAAGTGAAAGTAGCATTTATATTAGACTGTAGCTACAATGCAAATTTGTTGGAGAGCAAACAAAGACATATATAACACACTTACTGAAATATGTGGCAAAGTGATCGTTACGTCATCTCCTTTACCCACTTGGAGGTCCCCCTCACAAGATGTATCAATCGATGCTGGCTTAAAATCATCTAAAGAGGAAAACAATTGTAATTACATTTCTTAGAGTCTTCAGAATTGTCATCCTGCCCTGCAAAGAGTTACTGCACGTTACTGTGATTATAGGGAATGCCAGAATTCACGCTAGTGTTTACAGCATTGGTGGAATAACACACCAGTGCAATGTGTGTGGCTCTGTGCCCCAGCCATATGACAAGACCAGATTCTGAACCTGCTTTTCAAAATGGAAATAAGGTTCTAGACCTTGTGTTAGAAGCCCAAAAGCAGACTTCTCCAAACCGCAGGCTTTGACTGACATGGAATTTTGCAGGCAAGTGTAAAACTGTACCACGCATCTCAAAAGAGTATCAGCTTCAAGACAGAGGGCTCTGCATGGCTCTTGCCAATTCCAAACCTGAGGATTTTCTCTGTGACAAAGACTAATTCAGTGATACCAACTCACTAAGTCTTCTTGCTATTTCTGTCTATTTAACAGCTATCTTGCCTCCACACTACCTCCTCAAGGGTAGAGAAGACCTCATATCTCACTTATGAGGAAAAAAAAAAGGTGCTGATCTCACTTCAGCAGGCTCCATGCTAGTGCAAAGCCACTATGGATACAAAGCATGTCTAAAGTGAGACACTAGTGGCTTTAAACTAACCCTGGCTTTAACTAATTTTGCTCATTTTAAATGCAAAATGCTTTGTCTCCCAAACAAGGCACTCTGTTTACTGTATTTATTTGAACTAAGAACATTTTAACCTAAAAGCATTTTCTGCTCATTATTCCGTTGTGCTGATGAGCCATAAACCCCATCCCCCAAACCCCTATCAGAACCTGTAATACTCTGACAAAGGATTTAGACAAAGCAAAATAAGATCAGACAGATATAAGTTGTTTTGCTTTGTTTTTAAAATCAGTTTCCATCCAATTCCAGCATCTCTGGATATGGATATAAGGAGGTGCAATTATATTCACAATCAAGGCTTTTAATTACTACATGAGTTAAGAAATTAGTATCTCAGAACACATGTAAAACTCAATTCCACTCTGAAAAGCACACTTGCAGAAAAAAAACCTGCAAACAAAAAAAAAACCCCAAACAAACCTAAAAACCCCAACCCAAAACCAACCAACAAAACCCCATCTTGTAATAAATTCTCATTAAGAGGATGTTAATGTCTAATTGCACTTTAATTTGACAGCACAACAAGCAGAATCAGGCACACTTGACTTAATCCTCATGCCTTGACTGCCAGACCAAATCATACCCTGAATTTTCATGCAAGCAATCTATTCCTAGCTATTGTTTCCCACCTACTTTATGTGCAAGCTTGCCAAATAAAACAAACCAGCTGCACAAGATCTAGAGCCTTTACCAAAAAGAGATAAAAGAGTTTCGACATTGCAGTCACTAGCTTAAGAAAGAAGTGCTAGTGGTATCAGCAAAATATAGTTACTCTAAACAAACACTTAACAAACCATTTTCATTTGGTTAGCCTACTAGATGTATGCGCTTGGCTAATCTTCCTGGATCGACTGTCCCTCCAAACGTACCCACAGTTCTTTTTCCAAAAGTCAAATGTTTTTAAGATGTGTTTTACAGGGATAATCCATTTTCCTGCACAGTATTTCATAAACATTACAGACAGAAATATTTTAAGAAGCAAAAAACAAATTTAGCCTAAGAAAATCCTCTTACTGTAGTTTGTGTGAAAAGGATTATGGGAACAATATAATGCTCAGATCCCAGATAAATCAGTCCAGATCAACAGTTAGAAAAAAATAAAAATTATAACCAGGAAATTAAGAGATCTCACTTGAAAGTCATGGATGGAAAACACAGCACACAGAAAGGTCTTCTGAAATAAAACTGCATTCTTCCAGTTGCAGCCAGAAGAGAGTTAGATTTGCAATCCCCTAAAAACCTGATTATTGAAGCACTTTCAATGCAGTGTATTTCCATCTAGATATGGCTTGGGTTCAATTCATAAACTATCAGACAACAACTTCATTCATTTCATAGTTTGGATATTTTAGGATTTTGATTTATAAATGGAGATTTGCTAGTATGTTAGTGCTGGATAATACTGTTCAGTGTTATGTACAAACAGTTAAATGTACCAAACTTTGGCATGGTGTTCTTCAGCATCATGGAATTATATATAACCAGAGGGGTGAAACACACAAAACTGAAGTGCTAATCCACGAGATAGAATTCACTATTGAGCAAAACAGCTTTGCCTCAATCGTTGACCATCTGCTTGAGTAACAGCTCAATCTAGAAAGCTGTTCTTTCAAGTCGCACTCAGATGACTACTATCACCAAAATCCTTAGTTGTAGTGTAAGAACACGGGCCATGAGACCGGGCCGAGGATTATGCACCATAAAACAAAAAATCCTACTGTTAACTGTATAGATTTCCCATCTTAATACAAAGCTACTGAAATATAAGTTTAGTACTACTTTTGTTTACTGTTGGTGACGCACTACTCATTTTAAATCCTGGATTTACTTAGAGGAAGAAAAAGCAATTTCTCCCCAAAGAATTCAAAGACAGAGAGTGAGCTTCTCTTCTAAACAGTCTTCTGTTAAGAAACTAAACGTACCCAGTGTTAAATAGAACATGGAATAATATACGGTATCTTTAAAAACCCCACATATTTTTCCAATGATTCACAAACTTCCTAACTGCTCAAGACTCTACCTCAGGATTTATCTAACACTTATTGGGCAGTACTGTATGTGTCTGAGTGGCTTCTGCCAGCTGCTGGAGCCGGGACAGCCAGAGACAGGGCTGCTGGGATACATGCTGCCTGATCACAAAACAGCCAGCTAAAACTCAAGCTGTGGATGTTTTATCTGCTCCCCAGCCTGTGGCGATTTGTCCTGCAACTGCCATTTAAAATAATAATAAATAAAATGGCAAGCCGCCTCCTCACTGAGGGAATTCACTTTATGCTCCCAAGCGAGTCACATACGCCTCATAACAAACTTGGTGTGCTGTTCGTCCGCCCTGGCCTGTCTCGCTCACACCGCCCCCCTACCAGCGCTCCCGGCCAACAACCACCTTCCCCATCTCCGCTCAGGCTGCCCGCCGGGGTGGGACACCTC